AGCATTATTAGTGGTATTAGTCATAGTAGAAGAACTATACGTAGCAGTGGTAGTATTAGTTGTAGAAGAGGTAGTAGAAGTGGTAGCGGTTTAATTAGTAGTAGAAGCAATTGCAGCGGTATAATTGTTGGGAGTGATTTTGGTATTTGTAGTAGTAGCATTAGAAGTAATAGAATTATTAGTATAGTAAAATTGGTAGGAGTTGTGTTGGAACTATTAGTAACACAGGACTTAAACGTAATAGTAGTAGCAGTAATAGAATTAGTAGTTTAATAATAGTAGTAATACTATAAGTAGTAATTGTTGTTGTTGTTGTACTAGTAATCGATATGTTAGCAGGTGTGGTGGCAATATTAGGAGCAGTAATAGTATTCCTAGTATAAGTAGTAGTTGTTGACTTATTAACAATATGATCAGAGTTGGCAGTGATAGCAGTGGTGGTAACTTAAATAGAAATATTAGCAAATGTATGAGTGCTAGTGGTGATAGCATATCAGTATCAGTATCAGCTTATTAAGGGAAATATACGCAAGCGCCTTTGAACATCCTTTTGGTTACAAGTCGTCGGAGAAAAACATGGATAATGGGAAGGTGAAAAAGGGATTTTGTACATACTCGCGGACAGCTGGCAGCCAGTCGAAAAAGAGTAATAATTAACGGTTACTCACTAATTACAAGTAGTATAAACACGTATAATATGGTACAGGGTTATGTGAGTGGATGTGAGAGTGGTAATTGGGAAGATTGATGCAGGTCAAGTCTACACTTGAAGGACTTCACACAGGGGGAGGTTACAACATCGGTAGGCAGTGCATTCCAGGCTTCAACCACTTTGTTACTGAAAAAGGACTTTCGTCCATTGGTTCTTGATTTCCCTGCGCGTAGTTTTAGGGGATGACCGCGCAAAGTGGGCGTGTTAGCTTGGGTGAAATAATCAGTGGGATCTAAACAACAGTCTAGGCCGTTGATGATGCGAAAAATTAGTATGAGGTCACCACGTAATTGCCTGTAGGAAAGGGGAAACCGGCTGAGGATTGACAGTCTGGTTTCATAGGGCAGTGCTCCCAGACCTTGTGTCATTTTGGTCGCCCGTCTCTAGACCTTCTCCAAGACGGAATAATCCTTGGCAGTCCAGGGTCTCCACGCCTGTATGGCGTATTCTAGATGAGGTCGCACGAAGGTGCCAAATATTTTGGAAAAGCAGTCAGGATCAAATCCCATAAATGCTCGCCTAATGAGTTGCAATGTGGCCGTAGCCGATTTAGCCGCCTTCGTGAAGTGCAGTGTTGGTTTGAGTAAATATATAATTCATACACCCAGGTCCTTCGGACTGTCAACCTGTTGCAATGGTGTGCCGTGCAGAAAGTAGATCCTGGGGCTGGGGGCTGTGAAGCAGCCGAGTTGAAGAAAGATACACTTGCTTATATTGAAGGGCATAAGCCAGCGATTCGACCAGTCTTCAAGCCTGTTCTGGTTTGATTGAGGTGGTCTGCGTCTGCCGCATTGTGAATAACTTTCCACAATTATATGTCGTCAGCAAACAGGATGGCATCACAGTCTAGGTCCTTGACGCAGTCTTTTCTGAAAACGAGAAATAACGTGGAACCTAAGACTGAGCCCTGTGGGAGGCCACTCACCACGCTTACATCTGAGGACTGTTGACGCCCGACCTGCACTATTTGGGACCGTCCAGCCAAAACGCTCTGGATCCATACAAGAAGGCGTCCACGAATTCCAGTGTTGCGCAGTTTGTACAGGAGACGTTTATGAGAAACGCTGTCGAAAGCCTTTTTGAAGTCGATGTAGATGGCGTGCACCACCTTGCCTTCATCACGTGCTTTGGTCCAGCGTTCGAGCGTAAAGAGCAGATTCGTGAGGCAGGACCTACCACTTCGAAAGCCGTGTTGGGCATCCGAAAGGAGATGGTGCTGCTCGAGGAACTGCACCAAGGCCTTCTTAATGATATTCTCCATGATTTTGCAACAGATGGAGGTAAGACTCACTGGCCTGTAGTTATTCGCAGACGCACGACTTCCACCCTTAAAAAGTGGAGTGATGGTAGCGGACTTCCAGTCAGAGGGCAGGCATCCAGTAACAAATGACGTTTGAATGACCAAGGCTAACGGCTTGGACATTTCCGAAGCTAGTTCCTTCAGCAGCTTGGCGGGGATTGCATCAGGGCCTGGGGAGGTCGATTCTTTTAGGTTTAGTTACTCATTCCGAACAATTGTTTCGGTGAAGAAGACGGCCTCGAGGGTAGGCGTTTCATCGTCTTCATAAGCGGGTGAGGAAAAAGCAGGTTCACTTGTCACGACAGACCGGAAGAACTGAGAGAAATGTTCAGCCTTATCCTTGTCATCGGAGATTTCCACACCCTCAGCCGTTCGCAGCAGTGGAACAGGATCTCTGTTCCGTGTGCTCTGTCTTATGTAGCTGTAAAGGATTTTTGGATTAATCATGGCACGGTTCAAAATATTCTTTTTAAAAGCTTTCCTATCTCTGGCGATGAGAATTTTGACCCTATTTCTCTGTAACTTATAACTGCTTAGGGATTCTGGCGTGCGATCCGTCAGCGATCTTTTCCATAGCTTCCTCTTCTTGTTAACTTCCTTCTTTAATGACGGAGTCAACCAGCGAGGTCTATTTGTTAGTCTTTTGCGCATGATTGGACAGTGGTTGGAAATGAGGTTGTGGACTAACTCTATAAACTGACACCAAGCCTCTTCGACATCGCCGGAGAGAGTGGATGCCCAGTCGATAGGACTAAGATCCTTTTTCATCTGTTCGAAATCGCCGCGCCAAATATTAGGTCGGGAGTCGAGCGGTTGTGTAGGAAGGGAGAATAACGTGTATTCCAACATGAGAACTACATGGTCACTCTGACCCAACAAGGGGAGGCAATTCACAACGTCGATGCTGTCAGACGACTTTGTGAACACAAGATCTAGGCAGTTCATCTGTTGGCCCTCTCGAACTTTCGGTGGAAACATTACGCGTTGTGTGAGAAGCAGGTTGTCGGAGGTACGCAGTAGCTGCTGGTCAAATGCTGCTTCAGAGCAGTCGGCTGAGGCCGAGCTCCAGTCGATGTGAGGTGCATTAAAATTTCCAACGATGAGAGTGGTCGGCCGCGTTGAAAATAATCTGAGGTCCTCCAGCAGTTGGGCATCAGCGTCAGGGTCATTTCTCGGGGGGCGATATACTGTCAAGATATGGAGACTTTGAGAGCCCGGTGCCCTTATCGTCAGCCATAATGCTTCGGTACTACAAGTCAGTTGGGCAGTTTTTTCTGAAACGTGCAAGCCGTTCTTAACAAATGTTATTATGCCTCCACCCCTTCTGTTTTCTCTGTCTCGGCGGAACAGTTGAAATCCAGGGAGCATGAGCTCTCTATCATCAACCTGTTCGGACAACCATGTTTCTGTTATTGAGATAACACCTGGATGGAGGTCGTAGGTACGGATACGGAGTTCGTCCAGTTAAGTCGCTGGTCTTCCAACACCACAGACCGAAATTCTGGGCCCGGTATGTAGATGACACCTTCGTCGTCATCGAACGGGATCAAGTGTTGACATTCCAAGAACAGCTCAACGCCGTCTTCCCGGACATTCAATTTACGATGGAGGAGGAAGAGAACAACCAGCTGGCCTTCCTGGAGGTCCTCGTATGCCGCAAAGATTGTGATGGACTAAAAACCAAAGTGTTCAGGAAAGCGACAAATATGATGCAAGTACTGAACTTCAACAGTAACCACCCAATCAGCCACAAACGCAGTTGTGTAAGGACAATCTATCGACGTGTCGAAGCGCATTGCAGTGAGCCGGAAGACAAAAACTGCCGAACTATAATACCTCCGACGCGTCTGCAAAGCCAATTGCTACCCGAGCAACTTCGTCGACCGGCGCATACGCAAAAGGGATGAAAGGGATGGAAAGCAATAGTATTATTATCAGAAGTGGTAGAAGTGGGAGAATGAATTGTCGCTGTGGAGAATGTAGTAGAACTAGTGTCAGTAGAAGAACTATAAGCTGTAGAAGTTGTATCAGCAGAAGTAGTAGTAGTATCATTAACATTAGAAGTAATGTTTATAGTAGTTTTAATAATACAGTTAGTTGAAGTAATGCCAGTGGAAGTAGTAGTACGAGTTGTAGTAGTAGTAGTTGTAGAAGTAGCAGTAGTAGTAGAAGTAGTAGTAATATTAGTAGCTCTAGTAATGGTAGAAAGGAGAAGAATTTTTGTTAGTGGCAGTAGTAGTAATAGAGTAGTAACGGTAGCGATAATAATAGTGAGAGCAAAGAAGTGGAATCTGCACAAGTAGTAGTCGTATATTCAGCATTTGCAACAGTAGTAAAAGATTTATAATTTGTCGTAGTAATTGAGTATTAGCAGCAGTAGAAGTAATATTAGCAATAGTAGTCGTGGTAGTAGTAGTAGTAGCAGCAGTAGCAGTAGTAGTAGTGGTAGCAGCAGAAGTAGAAACAGTAGAAGAAATAGTGGTCGTAGTAGTAGTAGTAGAAGTAGTATAAGTAGTCTTAGTAGTAGTAGCAGTAGTAGTAGTAGCAGCTGCAGTGTTAGTAGTAGTAGCAGCAGTAGAAGTAGTAACAGTAGAAGTAATAGTAGTCGTAGTCGTAGTAGTGGTAGTAGCAGTAGTAGTAGTAGCTGCAGCAGAATTAGAAACACTAGAAGTAATAGTAGTCGTAGCAGTAGTAGTAGAAGTAGTGGTTTCAGAAGAAGTAAAAGCAGTGGAAGAAGTTGTATTTGTATGAGTATTAAACGGTAGTAATGGAAAATGCAGCTGCCGATGATGAAGTAATCGCAGTAATATAAGCATTATAAAATGTAACAACATTAGTAATAGTAACAGTATAATTAACTGTAGTAGTTATAGCGGCAGAGGCGGAAATATTAGTAGTACATTGGTAGTAATAGCAGTGGTAGAATTAGCAGTTTAATTAACCGTTGTAGTATTAGAAGTAGAGGTAGTAGTATTGGCAGCAGAAGTGATAACGGTAGTGGAGTAGTAGTAGTAGTAGTAGTGGCAGCAGTACCGGCAGAAGGAGAAGTAATAGCAGGGGTAGAATTAGTAATAGTAGTAGCAGTATTTATAGTGGTAGTAGTGGTATTGGTAGTATTCGTAATAGAAGTAATAGCATCAGCAGCAGCATCGTTATTGGTAGTACTAGTAGATCTAGTAGTAGCAGCTATGACAACGTTATTCGAATTAATAGATATAATAGTAGTGTTTGTAATAGCAGCAGCTGCAGTGGTAGCAGTAGTATTAGTAACAGCAGAACAATTTTTGGTAGGCGTAGAATTGGTAGTAGTATTAGTATTATGAGTAGAAGTAGTAGCAGGTTAGTATTCT